TTGAAGTCAAAAATTCATTAAAATTTCTTAGGTTAGAAAATCACGCTTTTCTCAATTTACTTAAAAACAAACAATTATATAAAAAAATTTTATTAGAAAAAAAGTTTCGCCTTGAAATTCTAAACAAGAAACAATAATTTTAAATTCATTTTGAACAACTTCAAAATTTTCTCTCCATAACCCAACTGACTGGCCGTGTGTTCACGCGTAACACATTATAGCATCCAGCCCCTCAATTGTTTCAAATCTGGGTTACCAAACCACCCCAGTTTTTCGTTAGTCTATAAAAAAATCATATTTTAGTTCTAGGGTTAATCAAAACTCGTACTTTCATTAAAATTCCATTTACAATCGTGCGGCATTAAAACTGAGCGCTACAGCGTTATGCAAGGATTTACGTTTTATTTTTTTTCTCAAAAACTACTGGCTGTCCCACGATGAAAATTTCAGGACAAGTCCAACACATTTATGTCTACAAATGGTAAAAAAATGATCAAAATTGAAGGTAGCATATTTTTTCTATGGCTTTTCAAAAAATTAAATTAATTTTTTAAACAAAAAATTTAAATAATTTTTTTAATTTTAATTTTTTAAATAAAAGTATATTTCAATACGAACAATTTAAGAGGTCATAAACTAAAATCCGTTAAGAACAAGCACAGATATATATTTTTCAAAAAAAAAGTACAAAAAAATTAAAAATCCAATATGTCCGCCAATTTTTGAAATTTTTTAAAATCGCTTGGGGATTTTATTTATTACCACCAGAGGATATAATCTACCCAATTTCAACCGAATCCCAAAACCTAATAAAATTTTTTGTGTTGAACTGACGTGGAATACACCTAATACCAGTGCTCGAACCAGTGAAAGTATTTAAAAATGCGGACTTTACGGACCAATTGCTGACAAAAATATATAACCAGTCCGAGTCAAATAAAAGAAAATTTTACTTAAAATACAAAAAATTAAATTTTTCATAACTATAAAACATGATGATATCAATAACTCCAAGTCTTCGACTCGGAGTGATCGATTTCTTCATGTTTTATAATAATTAAATAATTTGAATTATTCGTAAATTCTTCAATTAAAACTATATTAGAAAACGAGAACTTAAAATAATAAAAAAATTCAATTAAACTTTTTCAAAAAAATTAATTTCAAAACTCAATTATTTCTAAAAATTCTCGCTATATTGATTGTAATATTCAATTAAAAGATCTAAAATTTTAACTAAAATTCATATTTAAATCAATATTTAAAACAATATATGAGAATATATCAATCAATCCAAGTCAGGTTAATAATAAAAAACACATATGTCTATTTTTACGTTTCGACAGTCACAGCCGTCCTCTTCAGAACTAAAAAAATTTTTATTTTAATTAAAATAAAATTTTTACAAAAGAAAATATAAAAAAATTAAATAACAAATAAAAATTTATATAAATTAATTATTACCGAAAAAAGACATCACGAGCACTTATCAATTAATATTCATTGTCGGACATCACATATTAAACTAACGCAGAGAGAAAAATTGTCATTACAATAATCAAACTTTGTTTATAATTGCAAGTCAATGACCTGTAGAATGAATGCTAATGAGATTTCTTATATGTGTAAGTGTAAACACACTTATAGAGAATGATCTATGAAAATATACTATATTGATAGAAAATAATTATGAATAATATAAAATTAAAAATAAAAATTAGTGTAACATTATTATCGAAAATTCTTAGAGAAAAATTTTTTATAACTTTGATTTAAATTTATAGTATCTTCTTTTCTATTTAAAGATTTTTTTTGTAAATTTATATGTATCATTTCAGAGATCAATCTCTTACGCCAAATAGGCTCACTATCAAGAATCGATGTACCATCCCAATCAAAATCGTGTTTTAGCACTCGATTATGCGCAGCAATAACACACTGAGAAAAATTGCGTTTAACCGAGTGGTAGAAATAGCTCGGTTAAAAAAAAGTATTTAAAAATAAATAAGATATGGTTAAAAGAAACTAAGTTATACTGATTATCACAACCGAGCTGAGATGGTTAAAACACATCTGTTAAAAATAATCCTCCAAAGGATTGTCTTAACCAATCTGAAATGTGCATAATGGAAACAAACTTTCGTGGTGGTTGTTACCTATCTGTTTTTTGAATATAAACAATTACTATGCGATTAATATTAACCGAGTTTCATGTAATTACGTTCAGTTGTGAGATTTTAACCGAGTAAACATATCTAGGCGACATATCGTCAGTCACAGTCAGTCAGTCACTTCGTTTCGTCTTTTCCGGAGAGTCGTGTTGTTACAATTCTGGTTTCTACCGACGCGATACAAATTTTTATTGATTATGTTACAGCAGCCATCAAATATAGAATTCATCTACAATAGATACATAAAAATAAAAATGAAATGGAGAATATTAAACGCATTAAACCTTACATCCCCGATGACATATTACACGATGCACGTTAAAGAGGTTAAAAGTATTTTATTCTATTTGAAAGAGATTTGTTTGATTATAAAAAAGAATTTTAATTTCAGAAAATTTTGGTTATCTTTAAATTAGAACATAATTTTTTAATCAAATAGATTTCAATAAAAGAAAATAATTTTTATCAAGGGAATATTTTATTGATCAAAAAATATTTTAATCGAGTTGGGTGGTTTAAAATTAATTAATCGGTTTCTTTATTATAACAGAGCTAATTGACTACAATATTCAAGTTTATATTATTACTGTAGCCTTTTTAGGTGGCTACAGTAACCGAGTAAGTTAACTAACGTTTACCGAGCATTAATCATAAACTGTTAGTTACAGTAACAGAGAAAGAAGCTACCGTAACCGAGTAGTCTTAACTAGTTTCTACCGAAATTTTTAATCGTATTCGATCGGTTACTGCAAACAATTCACATTGCAAGTGCTATATTAGCAGCATCGCTCGGTTGTTTTTAACTAAAACTTAATTATATTTAACCTTTTATTTTTCTCAGTGCATTTGTTTTGGATTTTTTATGTTCGTCAATTCTCACATTCAACATTCTCTTAGTTTCCCCCACGTAAGAAGCAGAACAGTCTTTACATTTTATTTTATAAACACAATTAGTTTTTTCTTTTTTATTTGTTATATCTTTGCCTTTTTTTATGTAATTACAACTGTCATTAGATTTGGGAATTGTTATTATATTGTATTCATGTAAAAGATTTGAAGTTTTATTATATAAAAATTCTGAATATGGCAAAGTAATCTTTTTAACCTTTTTGTAATAAAATGTTTTATTTTTGCGTTCCTGGTTTGAATGAATAACGTTAAGGCGTTTCTTAATAAATTTGTTAATAAAAATCAATGGATAACCATTTTGACACAGCAGTTTTTTAACAATTCTGATATTTTTTTCATGAAAATTTTTGTCAGAAAGTCTAATAGCTCTATCAATTAAGTTATATACGATCGCAATTTTTTGTGATATTGGATGTTGGGAGTGAAAATTTAAAAAACGTCCAGAGAAAGTAGGTTTCATAAACCAGTCAGTTATTAAGGTGTCATTTTGTTTAATAATTAGTACGTCAAGGAAATTAAAAGAATGGCCGTTTTCAATTTCATAAGTAAATTGTAAACGGTCATTGTAAGAATTAAATACATCCAAGATTTCTCTAAGTTTATCCTTAGGTATACATGTGAGAATGTCGTCAACATAACGAAAAAAGAAAAGAGGTTCAAAAGATAAAATTTCCAAGCAATCTTGTTCGAGATCAATCATGACGAGATCCGCAAATAGTCCTGATATGGGTGACCCCATAGGAGTTCCGTAAGTTTGTTTGTAAAATTTCCCATTAAATTGGAAAATGGTGTTATTAAAGAGGAACCGTATTATATTCTGAAGTTCGGCTGTGACTGTCGAAACGTAAAAATAGACATATGTGTTTTTTATTATTAACCTTTGGATTGATTGATATATTCTCATATATTGTTTTATATATTTGACCAAGTGATAAATTCTATTGATATTATAAATCAATATTTATTAAAAGACTACTAGAATTCAAATATTTAAATACAAAAATAAGTATTTTAATGAACAATTAGATTGTTTCGACGAATTTTATAAATAAATATTTTAAATAATTGAATTCTCTCCACGAATTTTTATAGGATTTTTAGGAATAATTGAATTCTTTCGACGAACTATAATATAATTTTTAAGAATAATTTAATTCTTTGCAGGAAATCAATTAAAATTGTTATGAAATTATTTGAATTTTTTTGACGAAAAATTTTGCGATTTATATAAAGATAATTGAAATGTTAATCAGAATTTTTTCTTGTAAATAATTGATTTCTGCGAAGAATTTTATTACCTACTTTTGAAGATAACTGAATTCTTGTGAAGAATTCTTTTGTTATTTTTTATGAAAATAATTGATTTTTTCAAAGAATTTTATTAAATTTCCTGAAAATGATTGAATTCCCGAGAAGAATTTTATTTCTTTTGAAAATAAGTGAATTTTGCACTGAATTTTCTTAAAATTCTTGAAAATAATTGAATTTAAACGAAAAATGTTATTACTTTGGAAATAATTGACTTTTGCAATGATTTTTATTAAAACTCCTGAAAATAATTAAATTTAAACGAAAAATTTTATTATCTACTTTTGATGATAACTGAATTCTTGTGATGAATTCTTTTGTTACTTTTTTATGAAAATAATTGATTTTTGCAATGAATTTTATTAAAATTCCAGAAAATAGTTAAATTCCCAAAAAGTAGTTGTCTATTGTCTGCAAAAACCAAAAAAAAATTTTTTAATTTAATATTAATAGTGTAAGGGTTCAATTTAAACGCCTTATATACACATATAAATATTGAATATAATAATAATTAATTAAATATTAATAATTTATTAAACAGTATATTAATATAAATTAATATATTAAATTAAAGAAACCAATGAACCCCTGTGAAAAGTAAACCCTAAATACATTAAAGGTGAGAATTTAAATATTAATTCCAAAATTAAATAAGAGATGTCAATTATTACATTTCTATTGACCTCTCTCAAATACAACCTTGCGTACCAATAATATAAATACGCGAGCCGGGCAGTGAAATATCGCAGCTCATACGAACGAATTTACACTGGTATAAGTACGAATGTACCTTTGCTGAGACGAACGTGTGTGGAGAGCCAAGCACCTGTGCAGAGAGCCAAGCGGTTATACAGAGAGCCAAGCAGCCAGAAGGAGAGGGGAGCCTAGAGAAGTCGACTACTAGAAAGCAGCATAGTGAGTATACTGTATATCATTCGGTACGCCACCTCGGCTCGAGTATATGCATTTGATTATTACAGTGTACGCCACCTCGGCTGCTGAATCTTTTTTCTCTCTCTTTCCAATGAACGCCACCTCGGCTGCTGGAAATTTCTTCTAATACTCTCTCGTCGAGTATTAGATGCTCAATGCGTGTGTTAGGTTTTACCCTTATATATTCGTATACTGCCATCCCTTTCTATAATGTACGCTGCCCCAGGCTATTATAGATCGTATTTTTTCGTAATTTAGAATCTTACCCTTTTTCTTATTTTTTATCCTGGTGCTTCTCACCAGCATCACATATATATTCGCGAGATCAGCCAGCTAAGCCCTCGCAATAGAATATATTTTTTTTATATAAATCTCTAGTATTTTCTTTTGATTTATCTCGGTTTGCTCTAATTACAAGTTAGCCACACCTCTGTAGGAGTAAATTCCATTTAAATACATATCCGTAAGTCGTGTCGTCGCAATTCTAAAGTAAATGCATTGATTTTACGAATTAGATGCATTTCTTTAACCCTCAATATAGATTGATAAAAATTACATAATTTCTTAGAAAGTGTATATACAATTTATATAAGTTCTGTATATGTTAAATTAAACCTCTATGCAATTCTTTCTTTTTTAAGAGATCTTTTATACGCAGCTTCTCAGAAAACGTATGATCTCAAAAAACCAAGTTAATACAAGTATTGTATCTCTGTATTATACTTATTTAAATTTAGACATATAAATGCGCAGCTTCATTGAAAACGCATCGTCTACATATCCATTAAATTTACAAGTTTAATTACACCTCTGTAGCACAACTCTTTTAAGATTAAATACATGTAGCTTCTCAGAAAACGTGTGGTCTTAATTTTCAACGCGATATTATAATTAATATCCTATAGGACTGACTAAAATTATATTCGATTTTAGGAAATTAAAATGAACTTAATTGATATTAATATATATATTGTTATGAATCGTCAAAATAATTCCAATATCATAATTGTTACTATTATTGCACTTTAGAACGTCGTAATTAGAATAGGGAGAAAATCTGTAATTAGCATAGGTTGTTTTTTAATAAATAATTAATTAATAAATTTAATTAAATGTCTCTAATTTATTTCTCAACCTTGGGTACCTAATTTTCTATGAAATTAAGGGTTATAAAAAACGAACCGTTACAACTGGCGACCGTGACAGGACCCAACGTAATTTAAAAAGTAAAATTAAAAAAAAAGACTAAAAAATTAAATATGTCGAGTACAACATCTAAAAGAGGTAGGAGACGTAAAGTTTTAAATAGCATAGATTCGATAATTGATTTGCGAGAAGTATTTGAACCTGTACCGGATGCAACAACTGAACCAGTCAGCGAGAATCCACTAAATGTAGGAGATTATAATATATATAAAGAAAGCACTAAAGTACAAACCACAAAAGAAACAATGCCTGGAAATTCACTCGAAAATGAATTACGAAAAGCTGAAGAAAGTGAATTCGATAAAGAAATCAAAAAATTAAAATTAATTACAGAAAATCTAAAACGCGAGCATAAAACCTTTAGGGATTGGTGCAACTCCATAGACATGAAAGTAGATAACTCAAAAATACAACTCCGCGAAGAAATCGAAGATGCTGAAATTCGATTACAGGCCGAAATCAACGAACAAGTAGCATCACTAAAAAGTAACACCGATACTAGGATAGATGTAATCGAAGATAGAATGGAAAATACGTTTGCCACCGCGATCCTACAAAATGAAAAATTGCTACAATTGAGTGATAAAGAAATCAAGAAATTATCGTCGAAACAAACTAAAGCTGAAGATAGAATAAAAATCCTAGAAGATAATAATTTTCTATCCGACTCACCAAAAAGAAACGAAGGATCATACTCTTGTCCTTTTAGGTTTAACTCAAAAACACCATGTTATGTAGAGGGATCATCTCCAATGAAATTTTTAGAAGAATTGAAAGACTTCTGGAAATTAACCAAACCAAGGAAAGATGAAATACCATATATATTAAACAACTGTTTAAAAGGATCAACTCGTGATTGGTGGGACTTAGTCAAAAATCAAAACGACGGTTTCAATGAATTTTCTTTAAAATTTAAAAGAAGATTCTGGGGAGAAAATATTCAACACGATATAAGAAGTAAGTTAGAATTTGGACACTTCAACTCAAAAGAAGACAACTCGATGGTATCATACACTCTCAAACTATTTCAAGAAGCAAGATATTTAGAACCCTCACTATTAATAGCGGATATAATAAAGAAATTATCTAGACACTTTAGTGAAGAGATAAGATTATGTATAATCACTAGGTCAATAATAGACTTAGAAGAGTTACTAGAATTACTAGAAACACTAGATAGAGCAGGACCTATTAATTCGAAAAGGAATAATGATTCTTGTAAAAATAAGAAAATAGATTCGGACAGAGGAAATACGATAAAAAAGGAAATCAAACAACAGGACCATTGGAGAACAAGTGAAAAACCAAAATTCAATAGCAACAAAAATTCTTACAACATTCGTAGCCTAACAACGGAAGAAATTAAAGAAGAAGAAGTTGAAGAAGAAACCCAAAAGGAAGAATCGGAAAACTAATTTTCCCTGTATTTCAACAAATAACAAAAACGGAAAATAATACAGGAGACTCGGTAACAATAATAAATACTTTTCAATGGAGGGAAGAATTTTTAGAAGATGAACTAAAATTAAAAACTAAAACATCATGTCCAAGAATTAAAGTCAATGTACAAGGAATACCTGTTAGAGCATTAGTAGATAGTGGTAGTCAGATCTCATGTATTTCAGAAAATTTTATGTATATAAATATGGAAAAATTCAAAAAATGTGAGAGCTTACCGTTGGTAAACGTTAGTGCTGTAGGAGCCACGGGAGGTAGACCTATTAAAGTAAGGAAGCAAATATATATAGAACTAGAAATAAAAGGAGAAAAAAATAAACAAATCGTGTTCGTAATACCGTGTTTGTTACAACAATGTATATTAGGCATCGACTTCCTAAAAGAGCAAAATTGTACCTTGGATCTTCAAACTGATGAATTAGTGTTAAAAAACAACAAAATAGAAACCCCAATACAATGTATCGAAGAAAACGAGTGTGACGAAAAATATGATAACAATGAAATTAATAATCCAGTTAAGATAAACGCAACAGAATTCAAGGAATACCCGGATTTCACACAAAAGATAATATCAAACGTAGTTGAAAATAACACGATGATTCCTGCACATATGCAAAAGGCATACAAAGATCTCTTATGGAAATACAAAAAAATATTCGTCAAAAAACCCGGATTGATATCGTGTTATGAACACGAACTCAAAATTAAAGATGGCGTCGAGATGAAATCACGAACATATTCATTACCTATAAAACTAGAAAAAGAAATCGAGATTACTCTGAATCAAATGATTGAGTGGAAAATAATAAGAAGAGCTGAATGTGCTAAAATCAACCCTTTAGTACCTGTGATAAAGAAAGATGGAAAAATCAGATTATGCTTGGATGCAAGAAATCTTAACACCATTTTAGAAGAAGACCACGAAGGAACAGAGAAAATTGAAACCTTGTTGCAGAGATGTACCGGCAAAAAATACTTCACCCATTTGGACATGAATATGAGCTTTTGGCAAATCCCACTTAAAGAAGAATCGAAAAAACATACCGCATTCCTGTATAAAGGAAAATGCTATCAACATAACGTCACACCATTTGGTCTCAAGACAAGTACAGCAGCATTAGTAAGAGGTCTAGATAAGGTTTTAGAAGGATTATCACATTGCGTTATTATATATGTAGACGACTTATTAGTAGTTTCCGAATCCGAAGAAGAACACCTACAAGATTTAGAAAATATTTTTCAAAGACTTCAAAAACATAATATCACCTTAAATTTCTCGAAATGTGAATTCAAGAAAAAAGAAACTAAATTTTTAGGACCTATAATATCCGAAAAGGGAATAAAACAAGACCCCAGTAAAATTCAGGGAATACATGATTACTTAACACCAATTAATAAAAAACAATTACAAGGTTTTTTAGGAGTTATAAATTTTAGTGCCAAATTTAGTAGTAGTGTAGCAAAAGAACTAAAACCCCTACTCGAATTACTAAAAAAGGGACAAAAATGGGAATGGAAAAGGGAACATGAACTAGCTTTCAATACCGTAAAAGAATTATTCAAAAATAATGTAAGACTTCACTACCCAGATATGAATAAAACCTTTTATATACAAAGCGATGCAAGCGATTATGCATTAGGCGTAATTATATATCAATTAGACGAAGATTTTTCACCCCGTGTTATTACATGCGCAAGTAGGACACTAAGAAAAGCAGAAATATCATACAATACTACTGAAAAAGAATTGTTAGCATTAGTATGGATCCTGACTAAATTTAGGGACTTACTACTTGGAACAAAAATAATACATATAACCGATCACGCAGCACTAACTTTCCTCCGTTCATGTAAATGGTTAAGTGGAAGACTCATGAGATGGACCCTCGCGATACAAGACTATGACATCCAAGTAGAACACTGTACGGGAAGTAGTAACACAGCAGCAGACGCACTAAGTCGTTACACCAGTAATCATATATGCGTAAATCAAAATAAAGAAAATAGAATATGTCTTAATACACTAGCGAGAAACATTAATCAATATACTAAAATTGAATTAGGTAAACTTATTGAATATCAAGAAAACGACCAAAACTTAAAAACAATACTCAAAAAACAAATAGATAATATAAAATATAAACTATTCGAAAATGTATTATTCAAAAATTGTAATAAACAATGGAAAATATATATACCAGAAAAATTAGTAAAATTATTAATCAAAAATTGTCATGAAATCTATGCACATATAGGCGCAAAAAAATGCCAATTGATGTTGAATGAAGATTTTTACATTAAAAATCTTTTACGAAGAATAAAAGAATATACACGTTCTTGTGATACTTGTCAACGTAATAAAATCACCAATAAGAAATCAGTCATTGAAACTCAAACAATAATGATTAATAAACCAAGAGAAGTAATATTCATAGATTTTTACGGACCTCTACCAACCTCAAAATTAGGAAATCGTTACATATTAGTTGTATTAGATGGATTTTCTAAATTCGTAAAATTATATCCACTACGCAAACAAACTACAGAAGCAACAATTAATAAATTATTCCAAGATTATTTCCCCAAATACGGAAAACCAACGCGAATAGTAACAGATCACGGTACACAATTCACAACCAATATCTGGACTACAAAATTAAATTCAGAAAATATTAAGCATACATTGACCTCAGTTAGACACCCACAATCAAACATAGTCGAAAGAACAAATAGAGAAATATCAAAATTTTTAAGAATAATTTTAAAAGATATAAATCACTCCTGTTGGTATGACAAATTACCAATAATAGAAAAAATACTAAATGAAATACATCACGACTTAACCGGATATACCCCAATCGAAATCCATTTAAATAAAAAACCATGTAGATTCTGGGAATCATATATTCCAAAATACCTTACAAACAAAACCCTGAGTTTAAATCACAGATTAATGCTATGTAAAGATGCATTTAATAATAAAATTTCAAAAAATAAAATCAAAAACCAAAAAATGAAATTAAATGAACCATATAAAAAAGGAGATTTAGTTCTTATCAAGGCTTTCAATTTGTCAGACAAATTATTAAAAAGAAGTTCCAAGTTTATGGCAGTATACGAAGGCCCTTACACAATCAAAGAAATATTAAACTCATCCTCATATATTCTAAAACATCCTACCAAAGACACTATTAGGGGAAAATTCCATCATCAAGATCTAAAACTATATTATCTCAACCCCGAAATGAAACTAAAAGATTCCAACTAAAAATATAAAATTGTTTTATTTTTTTTTAGTCATGGAAACAAAAAACTCATCTACACAAACTCTACCTAGGCCATTCATTGAACAGCGAGACGTATGCCTTCAAGCCAATTTGGCTAGACCATTTTTCATAAGAGTAAAAAAGGCAGAACACAAGATCATGACCTGCAGACCAAGAACCATCACACCAAAAAAAAAGAAGGCAACTCGCAGGAAGAACTACAAAGTGAGCCCCGTAGAAACAGATCCGAATCCAAAAATAGAAATTCCTATTATGAAGAATGTAGGCATTGATCCAATGGATCCAAGTAATTTTGCTAATATAGTAAAACTCTATAGAAATAAACATCTACAAAAACCAATACAAAAACCAACAATTAGAAAGATTCAAAAAGTTAAAATCAACCCCGTTTGTCTCCCATTAATCTTGGCACAATACCACAAAGACAAACAAATAAAGACACAAAACACTAAAAACACAACCAACACCCAAACAAACGACGAAAGCATTATATTAGATATATCAGACACAGAAAAAATCGAAATTGAAAACATGTACGAATGTACCTTTGCTGAGACGAACGTGTGTGGAGAGCCAAGCGCCTGTGCAGAGAGCCAAGCGGTTATACAGAGAGCCAAGCAGCCAGAAGGAGAGGGGAGCCTAGAGAAGTCGACTACTAGAAAGCAGCATAGTGAGTATACTGTATATCATTCGGTACGCCACCTCGGCTCGAGTATATGCATTTGATTATTACAGTGTACGCCACCTCGGCTGCTGAATCTTTTTTCTCTCTCTTTCCAATGAACGCCACCTCGGCTGCTGGAAATTTCTTCTAATACTCTCTCGTCGAGTATTAGATGCTCAATGCGTGTGTTAGGTTTTACCCTTATATATTCGTATACTGCCATCCCTTTCTATAATGTACGCTGCCCCAGGCTATTATAGATCGTATTTTTTCGTAATTTAGAATCTTACCCTTTTTCTTATTTTTTATCCTGGTGCTTCTCACCAGCATCACATATATATTCGCGAGATCAGCCAGCTAAGCCCTCGCAATAGAATATATTTTTTTTATATAAATCTCTAGTATTTTCTTTTGATTTATCTCGGTTTGCTCTAATTACAAGTTAGCCACACCTCTGTAGGAGTAAATTCCATTTAAATACATATCCGTAAGTCGTGTCGTCGCAATTCTAAAGTAAATGCATTGATTTTACGAATTAGATGCATTTCTTTAACCCTCAATATAGATTGATAAAAATTACATAATTTCTTAGAAAGTGTATATACAATTTATATAAGTTCTGTATATGTTAAATTAAACCTCTATGCAATTCTTTCTTTTTTAAGAGATCTTTTATACGCAGCTTCTCAGAAAACGTATGATCTCAAAAAACCAAGTTAATACAAGTATTGTATCTCTGTATTATACTTATTTAAATTTAGACATATAAATGCGCAGCTTCATTGAAAACGCATCGTCTACATATCCATTAAATTTACAAGTTTAATTACACCTCTGTAGCACAACTCTTTTAAGATTAAATACATGTAGCTTCTCAGAAAACGTGTGGTCTTAATTTTCAACGCGATATTATAATTAATATCCTATAGGACTGACTAAAATTATATTCGATTTTAGGAAATTAAAATGAACTTAATTGATATTAATATATATATTGTTATGAATCGTCAAAATAATTCCAATATCATAATTGTTACTATTATTGCACTTTAGAACGTCGTAATTAGAATAGGGAGAAAATCTGTAATTAGCATAGGTTGTTTTTTAATAAATAATTAATTAATAAATTTAATTAAATGTCTCTAATTTATTTCTCAACCTTGGGTACCTAATTTTCTATGAAATTAAGGGTTATAAAAAACGAACCGTTACAATAGTTTATTTAATATTAATAAACTATGTGGTAAATAAGATTTTAAATTGATGTTATTTAAAAATATTTGTAAAACTCTATCTTAATTAATGTTTATATTTATAAACATTAATTAAATATAAACAATAAAATTTTGAAAAATAATGGAAAAATTCAAATTTCTTATTATTATAAACCAGGGACCATCACGAAAGTTTAGTTTCGTTTTAGTTTCTGAGTTGTCACAAAAATAAATTAACTAGCTGAGTTTAGTTTCGTGTCGACACAAAACTAAATTAATAAACTGAATTTAGTTTCGTGTCTACCCGAAATTAAATTAAGTTGACACCTAAGTCACCTAAAATCAATGCAAAAAGAGTCAACTTTCGGTACACTTTTCTCGAAAACTATTATTCCAATTGCGTTCGCCCTTTTTTCATTCGATTACAAATATAATCAATTATATGAATAAGAAGTTACACGACGTTATCTTCAATAGAAACTTTTTTATGCATATTTATACCAAAAGCAAAATAAAAATACCATTTTCTTTGATTCATTGACTCATATCTTCGTTTGTGCAACTCAAAATGATGTTAAACTTCTTATTCGTATTCTTGGAACCTTACTAAACAAAGTAAAAAAAAATTACAAATCGGTTTAGTAGATTCGGAGAAAAGTGTACCGAAAGTTTAAAAATTGGAAAAAAACAATTTTTACAGGAGACACGAAAAAAGAAAAAATACTAAAAACTCATGGTATTCAGAATCATGTAATCAGATTTTTTCAACTCTTCAGAAAAGGTTTTAAAAAGTCTTGTTCTATTCCTAATTGAGTCTACTTTTAGAGAATCAAATAAAAAAAATCGATTTTTTGTCATTTTTCCACTTAGGTGTCCCCTTAACCAATTAGATTATTAGTTTCGTGACGACTCGAAACTAAATATTAATAAATTGAATTTAGTTTCGTGTTAACTAAAAACTAAACTAAAAATCTAAATTAAAATTTAAAAAATTGAATTTATTTTAGTACACATCGAAAATAAATATTTTAGAAACTCAAGTATTTAGTATTAAATAAAAAATCACAGCTAACAAAATACAATATTTAAAGAAATAATAGAATTATAACTTTAATAATAGATATAAAATAGTATGAGGAGACTTCAATAGAATTATAAAGTGAACAAGATTTTTATGCATTTAAATCTTGAAATATTTTGTTTTTTCTTTTTAGTAATTTTTTGACTGACACTAAATATTTAAGTTTTTGGACTTAATTTTCGAGCCGACACGACACGAAACGAAATGAAACTTAAATTTCAAAAACAAAATTTGCACAATTTAGCAGTTTTTTTATTTAAAATATTTAAAAAATATATATTTTTCCCCATTTTTTGAACAATGGAAATATTGGTGAATAATTTATAGTTTAGTAAAAAGGCACGAAATATAATCCTACATTTTTTATAAAAAATAAAAACTGCATGTAATATGTTATTTAAAAATTAAAATTCAGTTTACATACATTAATGATTAAAAAAAAAAATTAATTACACAAATTGATTTGCATTAAAAATTGTACTTTAATTTATAAATTAAATTTAACATTCCAAAATATATAAAAATGTCTACTAAATTTTCTATAATAAAAAAACGTATTAAAAAGTATGATATAAACTTAAAACAAATAATGATAAGGATTATTAAAATTAGGATGCAATTTTTTTCTTTATTATTCACAAACACCAACACCACAAAACACTAATTCAAAAATAAATATTCACTTTCACGTAATATATAAGCAATTGTAAAACTGACAATACTATTAAATTAAAATTGATATGTAAATGTAAACATTTAACTATGACATAACCTCACTTACCAAAAAAAACTGTTACTACAGTTGGTAAAATAGAAATTAAAGTTACTTAGTAAAAAGAATCCAATAGGTAATGTGTATATTATATTTTCAAAAATGGATGCAAGTGGCGACTTGGTTGAGCGCGTTAAGGCGCTATTCCAGCAGCCGACTTGATACCTTTAGACTTATCCATCAGGCTATACAAAGGTTCGAGTCTGCTTACCCTCGCACGTTTAAGATTATTATTTTCGTTTTTTTTTCATTAAATACAATTTTTTATTTTAGGTCAATGAAAAATATGAAAATCTCTTAATTTTTTAAAACTTTTTAAACAATAAATTTATCTACAAAAAAATTAGAATAAGTTTTGGAAATTTCTAAATAATTTCCAAGAAACTACCTTTGGTAATTTCCAAGAAGTTTACACGGGTAAATAACAAGAAGTTTCCAAAGAGAGTTTCCAGCAAACTTCCAGGAAGTTTCCAGGAAGTTTCCAGAGATGGACATTGTTGTATTCCGGGGAAGCTTCCAGGAAATTACCAAAGGTAACTTCCGAAGTTGCCGTGGGAAACTTCCTGGAAATTTCCTGGAAGTTTTTGTGCTATCTGGGCGAATGCTAAAAACATCGAATCGTTAAAAGTTCGAAATAGTTCTTTGTTTTAAGTTAATGTCTACTGAAAACAATGAACTTTTTCGAACTTTTGACGATTCGATGTTTTTAGCATTCGACGTTTTGAGCATTCGACGAATTGACAGTTCGATGTTTTAACATTCGACGTTTTTATCATTCGACGTTTTAAACATTCGACTACTTTACCATTCTACTACTTGGCAATTCAAACAGATGGCGTTTCGACTACTTTACCTAGAGACGCCTGTTTATCCCCGTTAATGCAAAAGCTCTAATAGTCATTTGATCTAATTTAAAGGTTATAAATATTCAAATGATCTAAAGAACATTGAATATAATGTGATTTTATATAAAAGTCTAATTAATAAAATGAGTTTATTCTATAATTTATTTTTAAGCCAATAATCAAAATATCCAATTCGCATTTTCTATAATCATAAGCAATTATAAAATTTTTTCACGCAAACTTTCAACTGATAAAATAGTTGTATAAGCCAAAGTTTATTTTTTATAATTTTATAATAACCTAATTTTAAAGTGTTATAATTTTTAATTTGTATAAATTGTAATTTAACAAATGTCTGTCAAATCTAAATGTAGTAAAATATAATTTATTTGAATAAAATATCTTTTTTAAAAAATGCTAACAACCTCGAATCGTCAATAGATTAAATATTCAAAACATCTAATCGTCATTTCATCCAATGCTAAAAACATCGAATCGTCAAATGGTCGAATGCTTAAAACATCGAATCGTCAATTGATCAAATATTCAAAACATCTAATCGTCATTTCGTCCAATGCTCGAAACGTCGAATCGAGAAAAAGTTGAAAAATTTGCTTGATGTAAGTTAACATTTATTTAAACCAAGCAAATTTTTCCAATTTTTGTCGATTCGACGTTTCGAGCATTGGACGAAATGGCGATTAGATGTTTTGAATATTTGATCAATTGACGATTCGATGTTTTAAGCATTCGACCATTTGACGATTCGATGTTTTTAGCATTGGACGAAATGACGATTAGATGTTTTGAATATTTGATCAATTGACGATTCGAGGTTGTTAGCATTTTTTAAAAAAGATATTTTATTTAAATAAATTATATTTTACTACATTTAGATTTGACAGACATTTGTTAAATTACAATTTATACAAATTAAAAATTATAACACTTTAAAATTAGGTTATTATAAAATTATAAAAAATAAACTTTGGCTTATACAACTATTTTATCAGTTGAAAGTTTGCGTGAAAAAATTTTATAATTGCTTATGATTATAGAAAATGCGAATTGGATATTTTGATTATTGGCTTAAAAATAAATTATAGAATAAACTCATTTTATTAATTAGACTTTTATATAAAATCACATTATATTCAATGTTCTTTAGATCATTTGAATATTTATAACCTTTAAATTAGATCAAATGACTATTAGAGCAATTGCATAAACGGGGATAAACAGGCGTCTCTTTACCTATGGGATTTTGTCGTTAATATTTAAATGATATTTATATAGAAAGATAACCAGAAGGTTTCCCATAATATTTTGCGTATTATAAATAGTTTGAAATGACTAGACACAATTATATTATATATTTAATTAAGATTTATTCTTTCAAGTATAAATAGATTTTCACTCAGCGTGGTCCCGTACGCAACTGTACATATCTAAACTCTAACCGTATCACTTTCTCTCTTTACGCATGAGAGAAAAGAATCGTCGCGCGCTGGACGCTCTGTCCTTTTCTGTGCAAGAGAAAACATCTCGTATCTCGAGAGAGAATATTACAGAATTCAAATTTACCACACTGCGATCCATACAGTACTCCCCCCCAAGTGTAACGATACAATGCAATATGCAACGATGCAAGGGAGAAATAGGGTAAGTGATAGTAAGTTCGGCCACCCCCCAGTGGTCGGCCACTTTATCTTATTTTCCGTGAAATTAAAACAAATCACTAATGTCGAAAGGTAAAATTTTTTTTACATCTGACATAACCTATAATGCGTGACTTTAAACACGTAATAATAAAAGAATACAACAACGTTTCTTTCAAAATAATATTTATTTTCAACAAAAAGACTCTAGATTTTACGTTCTAATATCAAATTAAAGAAAAAACTTCGTAGATTAGCTAATATTTATTAATATTTATGGTGGCCGACTACTGTATCTGTTGTGTCCGACTATTGTATCAATGGCCGACTATAGATGTTTTCTACTTTTTGTGAAATTATTGTTTTATTTCGTTGCATAATGATCATTCGTTAAAGAAAATTAGCAAATTTTTATCGCAAAAGTGCCACGAACTCATAACAAATAGTTAAAAATTCGAAAAGTTGACCATTTTTTGGAAAAAAAATAAAATGTTCCGGTCTGTCCTTAAGTGGCCGTAGACTGTATCACTTAAGGCGCTAGCACAGCTCCTACTGCCTGCCTGCCTGCCTGCAGGTTGACATGGTAACACATTAGAGTAAGAGAGTCAGAAAATTCAAATTAAATGTTTTTTCTCTCTCACTCTTACGGCGCCTGCCTGCGCAGGCAGGCAGGCAGTAGAGGTGAGAGTGTACCTTAACCCTACATTATAATGTAAAACATAATCTATTTAATTTAATTAATATCGTGGGATCGTGACTAGAGTTTAAATTAATAAGGTAAGTAAAAATCTTAATATATAAATCACGTATAAGTGTAAAATAATAATATTGTATAACGACGATCGATCATAGAATAGTAAAAAAAATATTTGTAATTATATAATAAATATTTAAAATAATACTTCGCACTTTTTAAAAAAAACTAAATTATGATATCGCTTAATATTTTATCGCAGTCACATCAGTCTTTTTAGTTTAATACTTAGAATTAATTAACAATATCTCAATATTCAATACTATGTTATTTTAAAAGTTAAATTTCTGACGATAAGATGTTATTTTTTTCCGGAAAGATCGAAAGAAACTTTTCTTTTATTTGTATACGTACGTAAAATTAATGGTCTAGACCTAGGATTATTGTTAATTGGCGAAGTCTGATTTGAATTTAAATCTTTTTTAGCACTCGTTGGAATGCTGGATCGATTAGGAACATTAGACACACCTGGTACACCCGTTGAAGTTGAAGGCAATTCTGAACGCGCTTCGCTTGCAAGCTCAACAGAATCATCATTGTCACTGAGAGCAAAATATGCGGGCTTTAAATTTTCAACTGAAATTTGTTTATTAGTACCATTAAGCTCTACCTCAAAAACTCTGTCCGAAATTCGTTTAATGATTTTATGAGGACCTGAGTATGGACATTCTAAAGCTTTCTTAAGGGCATGTCCAAGGTGTAAAATGTAAACAAACCAAAAGGTAAACAAACCAAACACAAAAATCGCACTTTTGTAACAGACGTTTCTCTTACAAAAATTAACATTTTTACACTTTCTCTACAAAAATGGAAAATTAGAGTTTCAAAGTGTACAAAAAATTCATTTTTGGCTATGAGCTATAAAAAGCAATTAGTAAAATAACTAATTAAAGTGACCTGTAAAATGGCATTTTTGACGCGTCGCGAAAATAAAACTGTTTGAGTATATCAACCGCACTGACGATGAAGAATTCTCATGTCAGCGATTGGACCTTCAACATGTGGAAAGGGAAATTTTTCCCTTTCCTCCTTGAAATTACAAGAGAAAGGGTAAAAACTTCTTCATCGTCCGTGCGGTTGATATAGTCAAACAGTTTAATTTTTCGCGACGGTAACTCTGTTGCTCGCTGCGCGTGCGCAGGCTGTAACAAGGTCGCAATGATATCACTATGCGAAAATGCACATTTTGTTTTCGACTATAACTTTGTTGTTTTCTCATGCTTTCAGCTATGCTAGGTATAGTTACCAAACTCAATACTTTAGTTAACCATTTCCATAAAGAAAATATGAATTTATATTTATTTATGCAAATGAGATGGTCGAAAAAATGCTTCTCTATTCGGTCTATAGTGAAGCATTTTTTCGACCATCTCATATGCATAAATAAACATAAATTCCACGGAGTAATAATAAGGAGACTGTACTACCAGTGAGATACCGTGCCAAATGTCTGCCTTGGTTCACTGAGTAGTAAAGACTTCTCAAAAATAAAGCGCATGCGCAGTTTGCAACTATCTTCGTCACTCTTGAAAGAACGATGAGAGAGATCATTATTTTGACGTGCGAGTTAGAAAGTGTGGTTATGTTTTATTGTTGACAACAGTAACTATACGGGAAAATCAACATTTAAATAAGAAAAAATATTAATTAACAAACTGCAAAGAGAAGAGTAAGTACAATATATTATAATATTAATAAATTGTAATATAGGTGTGAGTAGATATTAATAAAAAGATTATTTTTGTCGAACAGGAGTAATTCTTTTCTTTGTATGATAAAGTGAATGAATACAATATAATATAATGCTATAATCGCTATAATGCTAATATAATTAATATCTACTCACACATTTCCTATATTACAATTTATTAATATTATTTAATAGTATAATATATATTGTCAACAGTAAAACATAACCACACTTTCCAACTCGCACGTCAAAATAATGATCTCTCTCATCGTTCTTTCAAGAGTGACGAAGATAGTTGCAAACTGCACATGCGCGTTATTTTTTAAAAGTCATTACTACTCAGTGAACCAAGACAGAAATCTGGCACCAGTTTGACTAGGGGATACGCTGGAGAGCAGTCTCCTTATTATTACTCCGTGATAAATTCACATTTTCTTTATGGAAATGTTAAACTAAAGTATTGAATTTGGTAACTATACCTAGCATAACTAAAAAAAATGAGAAAATAACTAAGTTTCATTCAAAACAAAATGTGCACTTCAGCATGGTGCTGTCAATGCATTCTTAGTATGGTCTGCGCACGCGCAGAGAGCAACAGAGTTCTCGTTGCGAAAAACTAAAATGTTTGACTATATCAACCGCACGGACGATGAAGAAGATTTTACCCTTTCTCTTGTAATTTCAAGGAGGAAAGGGAAAAATTTCCCCTTCCACATGTTGAAGGTCCAATCACTGACATGGAACTTCTTCATTATCCGTGCGGTTGATATACTCAAACAGTTTATTTTTCGCGACGCGTCAAAAATGCTATTTTACAGGTAATTTTAATTAGTTATTTTACTAATTGCCTTTTATTGCTCATAGCCAAAAATGATTTTTTTGGACACTTTGAAACTCTAATTTTCCATTTTTGTAAAGAATGTGAAAAAATATTAATTTTTGTGGGAGAAATCGCTATTACAAAAGTGCGATTTTAGTGCTTGGTTTGTTTACCTTTTGGTTTGTTTACATTTTACAACTTGGACATGCCCTTAACTGTACCAACTTTGACAAATACATGAGAACAATTAAATAAATTTTTGAAAAAGAATATTTTTCTTTTGTGCCTATGCTCAACCGGCACTGGTTTAACCAATTTCATGTGTTCCCGAAATTCTTCCACGAAGATTTGTCGATTAGCGGAAAAATCTTCTGGAATAACAAATTCGCCCGGTATTCTGAGGGTGGTACCGTAGAGGTATTCGGCTGGCGATGCCCCCGAAACCAAAACGTTGTTTCTAAGTCCCAACATGACTGTGGAAAGAGAATGAATCCACTTAGAATTATTATGGCACATAATCGCAGCTTTAAGAGTGCGGTGCCAACGTTCAACCAACCCGTTAGCAGCGGGGTGATAAGGTGTTGTTCTTATTCTATTGCAACCTGAAAGTTTCAACAAGGCAGAAAAAAGTTTCGACTCGAACTGGCTGCCCTGGTCTGTTGAGAGAGTCTCAGGCGAACCATAACGAGATATCCAACAATCGAAAAAAGCACGGCAAACCGTTGTCGCTTCAATATTTTTTAACGGAATAGCTTCCGGCCAACGAGAAAATCTATCGATTAAAGTAAGACAATACTTAAATCCTTCACATTCCGGCAGTGGACCGATGATGTCCATGTGGACGTGACGGAAACGACTATCCGGAGCAACAAATTGAGAAGGAAGCAGTATGTTATGTCGCGAGACTTTAGCTCGTTGACAATGAAGACAAGATTGACACCATTCTTTTATGTCTTTGTTCATGCAAGGCCAGACATATCTTTTTTGGATTAACCTATTAGTGAGCTTTCCACCAGGATGAGCAGCATTATGGAGAAGATGAAAAATTCGAGTTCGCATAGAACTAGGAATATAGGGACGAAGATTGTCACCTGACACATCACAAATCAATGAAATGTTATTCCAATGGAATCTTTTAAATTTAAGAGAACTATTATTGTTATTAGAAATTGATTTTAACTCTTCGTCGTCGATTTGAGCTTTCGAAAGCTCATTAAGATCGATTTCCGTAGGGAAACTAATCGTATCTGCGCGAGATAAAGAGTCAGCTACTACATTATTTTCACCTAGAAGGTATTCGATATTATTTGTGAATTAAGATAGAAAAGAAAGCTGCCTTTGTTGTCTGGGTGAAGCTTTTTCCGTACTTTTCTGCGAGGCATAAACCAAAGGCTTATGATCTGTGCATACCTTAAATTCATGACCCTCCAGAAAATAACGGAAATATTTTACAGATTCATAAATGGCAGTCAACTCGCGATCATATGCGCTATATTTTGTTTGTGCCGTATTAAACTTTCTCGAGAAAAAAGCTAAAGGACGCCAGGATCCATACAAATATTGCTCTAGGGCTGCTCCCATCCCCAAGTCCGAAGCATCTGTTACAAGACGTGTAGGAGCTTCAGGGGACGGAAAGGCAAGAAGAGTGGCCTGAGCAAGAGCTTCCTTTAGTGCAATGAAGGCATTTTCCGCGACTGGAGTCCAATTTACCTCACGCTTATCGTTTTTCCGAGTATCGTGTAAAAAGGCGTTCAAGGGTCGCTGGATTTGCGCGGCATGAGGAATGTAACGACGATAGAAGTTTATTAAACCGAAAAAACGTCTCAATTTATTAATAGTGTTCGGTTTTTCGAATTCCCTAACCGCTTTGACTTTTTCCGCTGTAGGGCGAGAACCGTTTTGATCAATGTGATGGCCTAAAAACTCGATTTCTGACTGTCCAAAAATACATTTGTCCAAATTGAGGCTTAAAGAGTATAATTTCAATCTACCAAAAACAATATCGAGATGACTCTCATGCTCCTTTATATCGCGGGATGCGATGAGAATATCATCCAGATAAACGAATATAAAATCCAAATCCCCTAAGGCCTTAAACATATATCTTTGGAAAGTTTGACCTGCATTCCGCAAGCCAAATGGCATGCGCAGGAACTCAAACAGTCCAAAGGGGGTAGTTACCGCCGTTTTAGGTACGTCATCGGGGAATACAGGAATTTGGTGATACGCCGCGTGTAAGTCTAGTTTAGAAAAAAATTTTGTACCACGAAGATTAATAGAAAAATCATGGAGAAAAGGTATTGGAAATCTATCTGGGATAGTAACCGTGTTTAAAAGTCTGTAGTCACCACAAACTCTCCACTGACCATCTGATATCAGGACCATGTGGATAGGAGATGCGTGACAGCCACTAGAGGGTCGACATTTATCCGATTCGACCATGGATTTAAAGTGTGCTTTGGCCGCAACCAACTTGTCCGGAGGAAGCCTACGTGGGCGCTGCGCGACCGGAGGACCGTTTGTCACTATGTGATGAAATATACCATGTTCATCATTATCTCCCGGATTAATAATTTCAGGATATTTAGAAAGAATATGGTAAAAAGTAATTGACTCGTCAATGGCTCTAATACCTGTTATGGAAGCGATTTTAATTTTACCTTTACTTTTGCTTCCAGACGATAAATCCGTAAGTCGACGATTCTTGAGGTCAACCGATAATCCGAAGTGGTTTAAAAAATCGGCACCGATAATGGGATAAGGCACTGAGGCTATGCAAAAATTCCATGGAAATTTACGGCCAAGGGACAAATCTATAGATAACGCGCGCTTACCAAATGTATTTATCTGCAAATTATTTGCAGCAAAAATGACATAATTGGAAGGGTTAATTTTGTCTTGGGAATTTGCAGGAATTATTGAAAGATCCGATCCGGTGTCTATCAAGAATGTTAATCCTGAAATACAATCATTTATGTGTAAACGTTTTTAAGAAATAATATTATTTATTGTATTAACTACACGCGGCTTATTCAGTTTTCCGAGGAAGTTCCTGGTTGCATCCTGCAAGGTGGTACACATTTATTAGCATTATTTCCAAACTTGCTATGATAAAAACATAAATTATTTTCTTTGTTATTGTAATTATTTCTCCTGTTATTATTATCGTTATTAAAATTTCTATTTTTAAAATTCGAATTGTTTCTGTTATTAAAATTTCTATTGTTGGATTTACTTCTGTTTCTTTTTTTATCAAAACCTGAGCGTTGATTGGAACGGAACCTATCCTGTGCGGAAATGGCATCGACTTTCGCGGTTAAGGCTTCAATTTTTTTAAGTAACTCATCGTTTGGATTTTGTGAAACTGCAGAAGTACACGAAGAATTCTGACCCGCCACTTCGACAAAACGATCGGCTAATTCCGCTAATTTATTTATGTCGGTGACTTCACTTAACGCTAGTGCTGATCTACAGTTGCTTGGCAATTGATCAAGAAAAACCGTCTTTATTACCTCGTTGCTACATTTATCCTGACTAAGGTTGCGAATGCGGCTAAGAATAAGAGAAGGCCTTCCTTCACCAGACAATTCTCCTTTCAATAATTGTCTAAGACGCGATTCTGAAGAAACCGAAAAGCTTGAGATAAGCCGTTGCTTTATTTTTTGATATAAATCGGGAGGGGGAACCTCGAGAGTGATAATGTCGCTGATAGTCATTACAGTATCGAAATCCAACGCAGCCAGTACTGCGCCAGCCTTGGTTTTCTCCGTTCGGACACCGGCATAATCGAATAGTAATTCTATTTCTGCGAACCAAACAATAGGTTCTTTATGATAAAACCCTGGCAACTTAAGAATTTGTCTAAAACTATCCACTGTTCTAGGATTGTTTCCGGGAGGACCGCCAGCGACGTCAACTTCCTCCTCGGCACCATCATCTGTCATGTAATCTTCACTATTTGCATTTTCTGACATTTTATTAAGTATTTGGTTGAGCAAGGCAACAAAAAAATTGAGAAATATAATTATACTAGTAAATTAATCAAGTTTAAATTTTACTAACATAAAACTAAATAAGATTGTTTTGATCAATATTTACCTTTTGACAGAATAATTATATTAATGTAAATGACAAAAGCACAAAATAAATTTTTATTATTTAGAAAGATAAAATTTAATTTTTTTTAAATTGTGTGCAATCCGCATTTAGTGCGTCCAATGACAAGACGATAAAAAAAATAAGTAAAATATTACTAATTTTATAATAAAAATACGAGGTGTAATTGCAGGGTGTTGCAGGTGTCTCCAATGCCCAGGTCAAATGACGATACAAAACCACAATACAAAAAGACAAGTTGTCAATAATTTAAAATCAATGGACGATAATGTAAAAAAAATAAAATAAATAGTCCCTTATAATTAACAACACACAGGGTAATATTTTTTATTTTGTAAAAAAAAATAAAAAAAAGAATTGAAAAAAAAAAAAATTTTAAATTGAAAAAAAGGAAAAAAATTTTTTTTTAAAAAAGGTAAAAAAATCAATAATACAATTATTACAAATGTGGATTAAATAAAAATTAAAATTGATTAAATTGTTTTTAGACGCGACGAATCGAAGTTGGTCGGGAACCACTGTTTCTATTACTTAGAAATATATTTTCCCGACAATCTTTACGTCCTTGGAGTCCTTGGTGTGTTGATTTTGAATTGTCCTCGATTACTTCAATTATTTATAGACATCAGTTGGAGCTTGACCGTGTCCACAGCGTTGACCTCTCATTCACCTTATCTCTGATGATGCTTCCTCGAAGTCTCGAACACGGTGGCCATGAGAAAATTTACAAATTTAAGGAAGGGAAACTGTTATTTCAGCAGGTAAAATGAAGCGAAACATACCTGTTAGCATGGGCTCAGAGTAGACTGCCCATGCGCTGTTTCCCAAAGCAAAAAAAAAATGTTGTCTCAGGAACAAAACTCGAAATGATGTCCTTTTTCCTTTTTTTAGATGGGAACTATTATTCGTCCGTATGAAGAAAATACTTTAAGAAGTGGTCTCAAGGAGAAGTAATCCTTGACAGGAAGAACCTTGTAATGTTGTGGAAAGCTTCCTGTTATCGTCCTAAGTTCTGGGACCAGCTGTAAAATTTTGTGAAGTGAATAAAATTTCTAAGATTTAAAAGAATAAATTTTCAGGAAAAGATTTTTTTTGGAGTAAGTGATAATATAAGGAAAGTGTTGTAAGTTGGTTTTTCAATCATGGAACAAGAATTAAGGTTGGAAAAATGTGCTGCTGCCGGCTCCATTATGGCGTCCGTTGAAAAGGAATCATGTGCTTCCTATCAAACACGTGCTTGGAGAGAATTTTGCAGTTTTTCCACCGTAGAGTCCAGAAAATTTTGAAAATTTTTTCACCAACACTTTCTTGATTTTTTTTTTAAATGTTAATCATCACTTTAGTCACTTTTCCATACTGGATGCACGAGTTATGCACAGATTCAAATTTCGTGCATGTGCTAGTCGGGGTCACCACTATGGGATTTTGGCGTTAATATTTAAATGATATTTATATAGAAAGATAACCAGAAGGTTTCCTAAAATCTGGTATAGTTGATTATTTAAAATTTTATTGTGGAGGTTCTAGCTTGACGGACCTGAAATGGTGACTTATTGGACATTATACACGCAGCGAAAGGGGTACATCACCAAGTATGCAGGCATATTGCGTTCAAGTTTAGCTTGTTAACAATGAAACAGAAAATTTACAAACATTGTTCTGCAAACACAAGAAATTATATTGACCAGGTATGTGATAGAAAAGTGCAAAAAACTTTAAAAGTTACCGAAGCTGGATATTTTGGAAAAATGTCTAGAGTTAGTTAACTAAAAAAATGAATTTTTTATTAATTGTTATGAACATGGAAAAGAAGTTTTAGCTTCTATTATCCTCTTCTATTTACAAAATAGAATGAGACAGTTCAGCAATATTTACTCAGCAGATACATACTAAGAAGCAAAATTTGCAAAAAAAGAAGACAGGTAAATTAGCTGATGGTTAATTTAATTAACTATTGTTATACTCACTCTCTTCCGCTTGGGATGTTTGTGTTTGCAAACAATACCTGCAAAGAAGAAAGAAGCTATCAATTATCCGAATCAAATTTCTACTAAATAAATTAAATATCTTAAATAAATCTCTATAAGCTCTTAGATTTCATATGTATCGACAGCACAGCTGCCCGAATATAGAAACCTGCTTAATCTGAAAAATATTTTCGAAATTAATTAATAATTTCAAAATTATCAAAGAATCCAGAAAAAACGGTAGCATGGTGGGATACGATCCCACGACCTTTCTATTTCCGGTAGATAATAGAATAGATAATTCTTTGATAATTTTGAAATTATTAATTAATTTCAAAAATATTTTTCAGATTAAGCAGGTTTCTGTATTCGGGCAGCTGTGCTGTCGATACATATGAAATCTAAGAGCTTATAGAGATTTATGTAAGATATTTAATTTATTTAGTAAAAATTTGATTCGGATAATTGGTAGCTTCTTTCTTCTTAATATTTAACTGCCGAATGATAAATTCACTTTCTATAATTATAATTGCCTATGAATTGAAATACTAGGCTTACCATCTTTAAGAAACTTCCTACGTTATCATTAAAATAACGTAAGAAGGGATAGTATATGTCAAAGAATTCGGAGAATCTCGGGGTGCATGTAGCTCAGTGGTCAGAGCAGTCTACCGGCAATAGAAAGGTCGTGGGCTCGTATCCCACCATGCTACCGTTTTTTCTGGATTCTTTGTAAATTTTGAAATTATTAATTAATTTCGAAAATATTTTTCAAATTAAGCAGGTTTCTGTATTCGGGCAGCTGTGCTGTCGATATATATGAAATCTAAGAGCTTATAGAGATTTATTTAAGATATTTAATTTATTTAGTAAAAATTTGATTCGGATAACTATTTGCTCCCAATTTTCACTCTTGTGATTACCCAGAAAATTTTCGACAACTGCTTTGAAACTAAGCCATGCGGCTTTCTCCTTTTTATTCATCTTGGTGATAAATTGCTCATCTTTTAACAATTTGCGAATTTGTGGTCCGTCAAAAACCCCTTCTTTTAGTTTCGCATCAGATTTTTCTGGAAACTTTTGTTCCAGGTATTTAAAACAGTTTCCTTCTTTATCTAAGGCTTTGAGAAATTGTTTCATTCCTCCTAGTTTCGTGTGTAAGGATGGAATTATCACCTTTGAAGGGTCGATTAGGGGATTTTCTATTATATTTTTTGAACCTGGTTTTTCATATATTCATAGTTTTCTTTCATTTCCGTTGAATGCGCTATTGGAATTGGAGCATAAATATTAGTATTATGTAGTAGTACTACTTTTAAACTTCTTTTCGAAGAGTCAATAAATAGTCTCCAATTTTCATCTTTGTATATATGTATTTGTTTTTAATTTATTCATGAGTCCGACAACATCTGAGCAATATACCAACGACGGATTTTCATCTTTTGTAAAATATTGTCGGAATTCTTTTTCTCTGTCTCGATAAAAGCTAGCTGTTGTGCCTTTTGATAACAAGTTTTTCTTCTTCAACACTGATGCTAGGTGTTCTGCACAATCCTTCGGCAATTTTAAATCTCTAATGAGATTGCTAAGTTCTTCTTGGTTAAACGTTTGTCGAATCTTTATCTCCTGTTCATCATACGGAAGGTAATAGTCGTCCTCATCATCGGTTCTCATGTCTTTATTTTCAAAATCTAGAACATCTTCAGTTGAACTGTCAATTTCCAAGGTTTTGAGAGAAGAAGGTGGATTGCATGAAATTTCTGGTTTTTTTACAGTGGGGACATTAGCATACAATATGTTCTTTTTATTTTTGTTATTATATCCTTGCACATTGGTGTTGCAAAAATAACAATCTTTTTGATTTAATGGTTTTTCCCACAAAGTTGGCTTTATAAACTTTTGTTTATCCTCTTTTTTATGATTCCAACGAGTTAACATTGTGTAACAGGAACTGCAAATTTTATGTGGAACAAAATTTTTATCCTGATTGGTTATCTCAAGATCAAAATAATCTTTGTAGATCTGTTTGATATTTTCATTTATTGATTTACGATTTTTGGGGACATCGAATTGTCCACATATGTAACAAAATGCATCTGCATTGCTGTCGCATAAGTGTTCCGACGTTGTTACTGCAAAATTAAGTTTTGAAGCCTTTGGAGTTTTATTATTGTTTTGATTTTGAGAAGCCATGATTTATGTGAAAACCTGCACGTTAGGGATCCTGGCCCGATCGCAGGTGAGTCCGCCGTCCTAGGGGTGATAACCCTCATACCTCCCCAGGCCTAAGTATGAGAGCTTTCCGACTTTGACGAGGACAAAGTCAACTCGTCGTCGGACACACTACGGCATCATCCTCACACCCTAACGTCCCCCTGCAGGGCAGCGCGCCTACGATGGCTTCGTTACTTCGATAAACAGAAAGCGAATCATTCTACACATCTCCTTTCGGGCAGTTGTCATCGCCTACTACATTTATCGAAGCAGCAGGATTAGTATTGTGCTGAAACACAATAAAAGTGCAAAGCGTACAAGGTAAACAATGTATTTTTAAGGAATAAGATAGTAAAGGATAGAGGATATTTAAGTTCCTTTTTATCTCGTTGCTTAAAAATTTATTATTTAACTTTTACATCTTATTGTCACATTATTACCTCAATGAAAAAAGCCAACTGTCAGTTTTTGAGAGTAGTTCATTACAAAACAAAAAATTACAGTTCCCGCTACAAAACACTCTACCAAAAAATCTTTCGGAGCAGCCACACGGAAAAAATTTCTGTGCACTGTTTATCTCTATATGTGCACCAATGGTCCTTAATTACAGTACAAATCTTACACTTTAAGAAGGGATCATATACGGCCCTTTTTAGAGACAGCAAACGCACTTCCATCGGACAACCTCTGCATCAACTGCACTGGAAGTGAGACAAGCGGTGCACGGACATTTTTTCCGTGCAGGTGGTTCAAAATGTTAAAGTCTGACTATAGATTCGTAATCAGTGACCCAAAAAACCCCTAGATACCAACTTCGAAGTAAATCCATCAATAGTTAAAAAATTCGTCCCCCATATTGGAGCCAACATTTTAAATTTTGAAAATCTAACTTCAAATTCGTAATCAGCGACCCAAAAAACCCCTAGATACCAAGTTTGAAGCAAATCTATCAATTTTTAAAAAATTCGTCCGCCATATTGGATCCGCCATTTTGAATTTTGAAAATCTAACTTCAAATTTGTCATCAGCGACCCAAAAAACCCCTAGTTACCAAGTTTGAAGTAAATCCATTAATTTAAGAAAAAATAGCCTACCTCTCAAAATCCGACAGATTTTTTGAGGTTAGAAAAAATCCTGACGTGATGGAGCAAAACGGACTTCGGATTCGTGTTCAGCGCGTCAAAATACATAGGGAATGACTAGTCTGGTCTGCCGCGCACGACACTTTTTTTTGTGGGGCTGTGTTATTATATATATATATGGGACGTTCCACGTCAAACGGACCAAAGCTCTGCCCAAAATGTTTTCTAATGAAAATAAACTTATTACATATCTAAATACTCGTAAGCTCATACTGCTTCGAATGAAAAGTGGCAAAATCGAAAATTCAAAATGGCGTCATTACTTCGACTCTTATTGTAAACTTTATTAAAAATTATGGAAACAAATTTACATAGTAGTTTGCAAAAATAGTTATAATTTGCTGAATAATGACTAACTCTTACGTTTTTGGGGTCGCTGATCACAAATCTGATGTCAGATTTTCAAAATTCAAAATGGCGGATCCAATATGGCGGACAAATTTATAAAAAACTGCTCGGATTCGCTCGAAACTGATTACTCAGGGGTTTCAAGGATCGCTGATCATGAATCCGATGTCAGATTTTGAAAATTCAAAATGGCGGATCCAATATGGCGGACAAATTTGTAAAATTTGCTTGGATTCACTGGAAACTGATCATTTAGACGTTTCTGATAAGGAATGGGTGGGGCACTAGCTATTTAATATTATTTATAAAATGTTTCAACACATATTTTTTTTGCTACATTAGCTCGCATTTAAATTTTATCGAAATATGAATTTTTTTTTGAATTTTCACGTTCTTCAGTTTACTGATACGGGCGTGTGGGAACACTGGCTATTAAAAGTTTATTAAAAAAATTCGCAATGGTCAAAATTTGAAAAGCAATAATTCCTTTTTAATTCCAGACAAAGAAAAAAAAATTTGGTCAAAAATTGCTTAAGTTACGAATTTTTTTTTTTTGACTTTTTTACATCTTTTGGTTTTTTGAAACGGGAGGATAAAAACGCTGGCTATTAAAAGTTCATAAAAAAATTCGCAATGGTCAAAAATTCAAAGAGCAGTAATTCCTCCTTAATTTCTGTCATTGAAAAAAAATGTGGTGAAAAATTGTTCGGGTTATGAATTTTTTTTTGTACTTTTTCAAAATTTTCGATTTTCTGAAACAGGCGGGTGAGAACGCAAGCTATTAAAACTTTATCA